ATTGAGCATTTAAAATTTTTTATGTCAACCAACGCTGGTATACTATGAGAATCAGAATTCATTTCTGTTTTTTATTTTTTTTAATTATATGAAAAAAGACAGAATAATGTCGCCTATAGATACGTATATCTATATATATAATAAAATTGTAACAAAGCCGAATCTGTACATTAAATATTTTTTGGAAAATCTTATTGAAATAAACATTATTATTGAGACAGAGGCCGATACATGTATAGTTACAGAGACATCTATAGTTTTTAGAATTTTTGTCTCTCTGTTTGTAACCGCATCACAAAAAAACTACTGGAGGGATTTTGTTGGAATTTGGTATGGTGATAGCTAGTTATCCGGGTCAACATATAGGATACTTTTTACCACAGGAAAATGTCTCATTTCTGAGAAAAAAATACAAAAACTGCAATGTAAGATGTGTAAAACCTAAGAATTTGATTTTTGGTCATCTGAACGCGGGCGGAGCCGCGGGTAATGCTAGTCGTATATATAGAGGATAACAAAGTTGAATTAATTTAAATTGAAACCCTTATTAGAGCGGTCTCCTTTGCCTTTCCTCGTTCAACGGGTCGGCATCATTACACTCGTAGTGTAGAACAGAGTGCCGTGAGCCATTACACCTCAAAGCGAACATTACTCTTGGTTTCACCTTTGCAGCACAACTTTTGCTTAAGCCACATTAGACCCTCATCTACACCGTGATTGTAGTTTACGAGCGTTGAATTAATTATTTAATATCTATCCTTTTTATTTTAAAACAAAAGGAATTAGCTTTTTTTTTACTTTTTAGTGTCAAATTTAAAAAAATCATTAAAAATGTTTTACGTATATTTACACTGAAAAAATATTGTTTTACGTATATTTACACTGAAAAAATTTGTTAATTAACTTAATGTTAACACTACAAATTTTTCTTGTTAACCTATTATTTTGTCCGGATATACTGGATAGGACTGAATAAAAATAATATTTGTAAATGGATATATCTATATATATATATAATTATATATATATATATAATTTATCGTGACAAAAGTTATATAGAGTTATTATTTATTTATTAATATAGTACACAGATATTCAGAAATTATTTAATTTATTGTACTAAGTGTAAATAGAACTATTGTGTTCGTATCTTCCTCTGAGATTTGAATTTTATCATTTAAATCGGAGATGCCCAGAGCGAGAGTTCTGCCAAAGGCAGTTGGCGTCAGACGAAAAAGTACTTCGAGAAAGTTCGATTAACGAGTTCTGAAGATTTAGTGGCGCCGTAATCGCACAAGAATTATGTCTTTGAACTTTATCCGCTATTTTTTTACGAAACTAATCTAAGTTCCACTTGTTTAGTTAATTTTTTATTTGTATTTTAAATATAAATAACATGAATTACGACACGTTTGGCTCAGTTTGTAGTGACCCTACTTGCTGTGCCAGCGGTCGCGGGTTCGAGTCCCGCTGGGGGCATTCATATGTTGTGATGACGAATGTTTGTACTCCAGTCATGGGTGTTATATATGTGTAGTGTATTAACTATCTGGTATCAATAACACAAGCCTCGTAGCTTACCATGGAACTAGATGGTGCTGTGTGTTAATGTCCCAACATATTTATTATTATTATTATGAAACCTCATATTAATTTATCCTACTCTAATATGAGGATTAAACTAAGCAAAACATTTATTAATTACTGGGTATGCATTTATTTATTAATAAGTTGCTAATAAGAATCTATGATAATTGTTTAAATATGAGTATAAAGAAGGAACATTTGTGGTATTGCTAATCACCTCCATTTTATCTCAATCTTGTGGTGAATTTTTATTTTAGCATGGTGCGTGTTTGTCGTCACATAGTCCGTGTCTTTTCATAAATGAATTTTCTTACGATTTGCAACATGGCGAAATATTTCTACTTACTCTAACCTAAATAGTATTTGTAGATTGTATTATTTGTAGATTTTTATTAGACCTATAACTTTTGTAGAAAACATTTTTCGATAGAACGTCACAGTAAGCCGGAAATTGAAAAAAACTATTTTTCAACGCTTTGCATCCCCCATTTCTTGGGGGTATCTGGGCATCGGGGTTATTTTACGAATTTCTTTTCCCTATATAACTACCTGCTACCATTTTAAAATCATAATTTAGGTTATCAATATATTTTTTTTCTCTTACAAATAAACGGATTCCGATTGGTCTATATAGAAAAGTTAATATAAAAATGATTTTATGAAATAACGATTAAAGGACGGTGCGATACAACCTTTTGTATGGATCGCTGGCTTTTTTTTATTTTGCCAGTTAGAAAATACAGATCATAATTAGAAGACTACATAAGAAGTCTATTGAACTAACCAATCAACTCGCTAAACCATAACGAACCAAAGGTATAGTGGTTGCTATTTATTTTTATCAGGCGATATTTTTAAATAAGTACTAATTTGTCATTATAGCAATAAACTTATAATATATTGTTACGATATATGAATTCTACTTTTGACATAATCACATCATGTGTAACTGCGACATTATCTTTGTTCAATCCAGTATTATACCTATAGCATGTGCTATTAATTAATAAACTTGTCACTTGTTAGGGATCAAAAGTTATGTATGTCATAAAGCGTTAGCGAGCTTTGTCTATCGAAATAATTAAAACTATATCAAAGAAAGTTTATCAAAAAGTTTTGTTGGAAATCATTTTACTGGGATTATTTTATCGGTAGAAACTTAATGTAACGTATCTTTATCAAATCATAAAAAAAAAACACTTTAATCTCTCTGACATCTCACACTGGTGTGGGATGGGATACCTTTATTGTGTATTATTTGGTGATGTTTAAAATCGTAAACATTATTTATAATATTTAGTTCACAAACCGCGATTAAATATAATTTTGAATAGAGAAATTCTTGTCTTGCTCACCTCTTCTCGGCAGAACTATGTACTTATTATTAGGATTAGTATTCGGAGCCCACGGTCGCTTTCTCAAGGACTTACAATACTGACACTTAAAATTCATAAAAATTAACGATTTAAATATTTTTAAATGGTGTGTCTATTCGCTCGATAATCGGATGAATAAAAAATATATTTTATAATCGTCCGAATATTGTTGGTGTGAGATATATTGCGACTGCGACTATTTTTATGTTTCTATAAAAACATTGGGATCTAAAAGAATAAGCTTTCAGCTCGGTAGGTTGAGTTTTTTTTTGCATATAACAATTAAATATCACTTATTTTACATTATAAAATAAAAAAATGGTAGATATTCGTACAAACCGACAAAAGTGGGACGAATAATATATTTTTTATTCATCTGACTATTGGGCGAATAGCAGCAACCATTTTATCAATAGTTTATTTGAAAAATTAATAATAAAAATAATACTTTATTTCTCAAAAAGTTTTACACTTGTGAATAAACATTTTACATCTCAGTTTAGTTTTACATAATAGTAATTTATAGTCAGATGCCTCTGTTGCCGTACTAGAAAGCCTGTCTTACGGCATACAGCGCCCACCCCTCAAACATTGGCAAGAATACTAATATAAAATGAATAACAAAAATTTGCAAAAAATACTATATGTAAGAATACTACTTGTTTATTTGTTCTACATAATTTATATAAAGGTTATAAAGTAAACGTGTGTATGTGTGTGTGTGTGAGTGTGAGAGTGTGTGTGTATGTGTAATGGTTGTCATAGTAATGAGTTTTTCAGTATCTTCATAAGACAAGCTCAAGAAATGGTCAACAATTTTCAGCTTACATATTTTACTATTGGTAGATATAATTTTTTTTTAATAATTGTATTATAAACAAACGGTAAATTTATTATTATATTTTGAATTAGATTTACTTAGCATCGTAAGCATAGAAACTAACAATTTATTATATTATTGGAATTACTAGTTGAATTGATAACCTCTTGTTTTGAACTCCATTAAGAATAGCCTTATTGACATCTTCCTTCATACATCATACAACACAAAGTTAGCATATCATACCTATCTTAAAAATATTATTTACTCTATCAATTACTCTTTACTGTTTTATTGGATTATACCGCATTTCTACAATATTTGTGAAATACGATCAAGTAAAATATTAAATCGAGGCAATTTTACATCTTCTTATAAGCCATTATGATGTGTAATAAACTGGATTTGTCACACAAAGAAACAAAGGACTCGTACAAATTATTTTCTTATCAGTTAGCGTTATACCTACACTTACGTGAATCATAAAAAAGCATCCGCTCTTGTATTCTCCAAAAGGACAAAATATGTTGTGGTTGTTTTAATTAATAATAAATATTTTTATTTATGCTATTCAGAATAATCTTCTATAATATAAAAATGAATCGCTGAATGTGTTGGTAAGCGCAAATCTCGAGAGCAGCTGAACCGATTTCGGTAATTCTTTTTTTAACATATTCCTTGAAGTGCGAGGATGGTTCTTACGGACAGAAAAATTTAAAAAAAATCCAAAAAAGTCCAAAAACAATACTTTTCTGTACTCCCATACAAAAGATTCGTAATAATACTTAAAAGTCAATTTACCAGTCATACCATACCATAAAGTTTAAGTGTTAGTGGAGAGGTTCCGGGAAGGCAAAACAATTGAATGACGTTAGTATCGTATAAATATTAATGTCAATATTTGTCAATATTATTAACAAAAAAAAAGGAAAATGTATATGGCTAACGCTGGCTAATAACTATTTATATCTATTTAAAACGTACCTAGCGATGAACCTGAGCGAAGCGAGAGTGAGCCGTATAGTACTAGGATAAAATTGTCAATAAATATAAAAAAAATACTAATAAAATTTATTAAATCTTATAATATAAGTAATACATGTACATATGCACTACGAGTAGTTTAACATAGAGAATTCCTGTAGTCAAAGTAGTAGGTATAGAAGTCAAATGGTGAAATCATCGTTCTTGATCCAATAAATCTCTTCTGGAACTTACTGTCTTATTCCTGAAAAAAAAATAGTCATAATACATAATTAATCATGTTATTCTAAAACATTAATATAGATTTTATAACTATCAGCGATCTGTCCTGGCTTTACTATAATGAAACACAGACACACATGTACACTTAAAATATCAAATTAATAATTTGTCAAACAGATAATTTAAAATTATGTTTGACACAGCTTGAGCGTTATCTTTATCTATTCACACAGCAGATGACTGTTTTATTGTAATGGAAAAAAACAGAACAGCACACGATGTAAACACACAAACTGATCAATATACATTCAAGACTAATTATTAATTTAGTATGTCATTATTATAGAATGTATGTTAAATTCATTTTTGTACTTGACCAGGTAATTATTAGGACATCATTTATAATGCCCGGGCATTTTAAAAAATGCCCAAATTAAGAAGTCTATAAGATAATATCTATTAAAATAATTAAGTTGACTGGATTTGATGAAGTGTCCTTCAGCTATTGGGCAGGATAATAAAAAAAAGTATTTACTAAGATATTGTGTATCGAATAGTTGGACAGGAATATAGAACTTATGATATTGGGGGTAGGTACTGGGTTTGAAATTAAACGAAGACATAACTTGAAGGCTAAGATTAGTACCTCTACCTATGTTATCCAAGTCGGGCCTGTGACTATCGAGAAATGCTAATATCGAGAAACTTGGAATCAAACTAACTATTCTTAGCCATTGTAACTTTCTTGACCGGTCTCTCAAAATCATAGTAAGTTTAAAAAATTGTAACGTTCATCTATCGTCATTTCTAGATTTTACGCAAATGAAAAATTTAAAATTCAACAAGAGCAGAAGAGATGGGAAAAAGCGAATAAAAGTGTGATGAGCTTTATTTTTTTTTTAACTGAACGAAACCTAATCATGTATGTATGTATTCACCCCTTCTTAACGTCCCACTGCTAAGCACGGGCCTCCCTTCAATATAAGGGGGATCAGGCCATAGTCCACCACGCTGGCTAAGTGCGGGTTGGTAGACTTCACATGTCTTTCGAAAACTTGCTAGGTTCTCTCAGACATACAGGTTTCCTCACGATGTTTTCCTTCACCGTAAGGCAAGTGGTAATCATGTTGAAAATGATTCGCACATGAAAATATCAGAGGTGCAAGACCCGGGATTTGAACCCGCTTCACTCGGTTATCCAAGCGAGCGCGACACCACTGGGCTATCACTGCCTAACCTAATCATAACATCATCAAATTGCTGAACTATCCAGTAGCAATATTCATAATGCCCGTAGCAATGATATATAATGAAGGTCAAATAATTCTTTAATCACTTATACCGATTCGACTTATCATTTATACATATCGGGCATTATAATTAGTGTCTTAAGTAATCACATAGCCCATGACATGCATATGTATATAATGAATAAAACTTACCGAAACCTTTCATTTTTTTCCGCTCCTCGGGCGTATAATCGGCGAATTTGTTTATATCAAAAGTAGCAGATGTCGACTGTTCATTGGACTTGTTGATAGTTTTCAACGTTTCCAAGAAAGCTTCGTAATGAACATTTTTATCTGCTTCATCCTTGTAATGCCGGTCGTAGTCCTTAATGAATTTTTCAAACAAAGCTGGAGCGTCGTTCAAATCGTAGTGCGGCTTAGTGTCGCTAGCCATAGCGACCGCGACGAGGAGGACGAAGCAACTGATAGTTCGCATTGTTTACTTTATTTTCCCTATGTGCATAAAACCAGTTCGAAGCCAAGGCTAGAATGACCAATGCTGTTAAATGACGAACTAATTTATAGCTTTGCATAAATGATTGTGTTAAAATTGATTGATTTGCATGAATGTTTTTATGTAGGTACTAGCGGCTCCCCTTGGCTTCGCTCGGGTTCGTCTGTAGGAAAATAAAAACAACCTATCCCACCGGAATCGTACATTTTCTGGGATAAAAAGTAGCCTATGTGTTATTCCAGACTATAATTTATCTCTGTGCCAAATTTCATTCAGATCCGTTTAGCCATTCTGGCGTGAAAGAGTAACAAATATCCATACATACTCACAAACTTTCACATTTATAATATTAATTAGGTATTATAAATTGTAACATTATACATGCATTATACTTTTATTTCTGTTTTTATATTAAAGATTCTATCTTTATTTTATACAAGCATTGCCCGCGGCTCCGCCCGCGTTCAGATGACCAAAACCAAAATCTTAGGTTTTAAATATTAGTATAGTCTTACATAAAATAATTTCATTGCGCATCGCATGATTGGTAAATAATAGCAGTGATTGACAATGCCACAAAGCTTCCTTCGTTAATTTCATGTTTGATTAAGTGATATTGTAATTTTTGTTTTAATAATAACACTAGCGACTTACCCTCGCTTCGCTCGGGTGCGTCCCTTGGTAAGTTTTATTTATTTTTGAGCAGAACCTTAATTCTTTTTCTAAAATAAAAGTAGACTAAGTTACTCCTTATAATATCAGCTATCTACCAGTGAAAGTCCCGTCAATATCAGTCCAGCCGTTTCGGAGATTAGCCGAAACGAACAGACAGATAGATAGACAGAGAGACAGACAAAAATATTAAAAATTGTTTTTTTCTTATAAGTACCGTATACAATTTCATATGCATTTAGTAAAAAGCTTTTATTTAATAGATTTACAGTATCTTCTGTTTTGTTTGTTTGTTTAGTTTTGGGCGATAAACTGTCAAACTACTGAATTAATTTTAATTATTTATTTACTAATAGACAGCCATTGATTACTTTATAGTTAGCTGATTATTTAAATTACATAATAATAACTTTTCTTAGTGTTAATTTTTCGCGAAACGGGGATAGGTTTAGTGCTAGTTAGTAATATTTTCCAACACGATTTTCAAAAGAAGATGTTGGGGAGGGGAGAGTTCCAGAAATATATAATTGAGGTAAAAAAGTAAATAATTTTAAGCAAATGCTTTTTACTATTTCGGCTCGGCTAACATGATTGAAGTCGTGAGCATTTTAACGTCCTCTAAGCCTTCCACCATTCAAGAAATGGCGTTAAAAAAATCTGAAAAAGTTGAGGTATAACAGTATCCACAATACTTTTATCGAAAATTCTCTTGCAGAATATACATTTTGTCATTTTTGAGATATGAACTAATTTTAGTTACCCACTTTGGCAGTTTAACAACCTTAAACCTTTTTTTCCATAAAATGTTAAAAAATAATATGAAACGAACTTACTTTTACGGTTGATAAAATGAGTATATTGTGGAAACATTAATATTATTCGTATTTAGTCTCTTGGACTTGCACTTGCCCAATTTTTACATTAAATGATTTACAAACATTAATATTATTTGCTAAACAATAAAAGTTTACAAATATTTTAATTTGAAAATTGTTACGGCCAACAATTAGTTTATATTCTGTATTCTGAGTTTCAGCCATATAACTGACTATACTCGTCCCTATAATCTTCGAGTCAAATGACTGTGAGATAAGATCATGAGGACACACGTACATACAGACAGAGAGAGGGTTGTGACGAAGATATAAGAACTCTGTTTTTGCTTTTAGATATAAAAAGACGCTTTAAAAATGATTTATTTAACTTAAACTTATTCTAATAAAGACATAATTGGATTTGTCATCAAAACCTGCTAATTAAGTAATATTTTTTATGGCAATTGAGAGCAAATGATTCGCTCATTAGAAAAATGTCATGTAACATAATATTAGTTTTTAAATAAGGTATCGTGGATCGTGATCTATTATGTAATTTCTAAGACACAATATTATAACATAATTCTAGCACAACACTCAATGTTGAGCTAATATTGTATATTTTTAATATATTATATATATATTAAAAATATACAATATATTGTATATATGTATGTTAATATATTATATATATGTATATTTTTAATACACAATATTAACCTCTTCGCAACGTCTATAATAAATTGCAAAGAATGAAAGGTATGAAAATCAAACTATTTTTTTTAATTAACAAAGAACCATTTAACATAAGTTTTTAATTTTATTTAAACTACTATCACAATGATCATTGTTAAAAACAATTTAGATAAATTGCCATACATTAAAATAAAGTGCACTCTCTTAATCATTTTCTTAAGAATAATCCATTATTTTTTAACTTAATCTTCTCTTCTGGAATTTACTTCTGTAACTGAAAAAAAAACAAAAGGTTTTAACAGATTAAAAATTGTTGTAATAAATAATATTATGTGTCAATTGTATATTGATATATCTTAACTAACAGTACCCGCGGCTTCGTCCGCGTTCGAAGTATTAAATTTTTTTTTGGCTTTATGTCAGAACTAATAATATTTAATTTCATAGCTGTAATCATTTTCAAATGTGTGAGTATGATTTTGACGCGCATCGAAGGATCCGTACTGCCGAATATTATGTTGGTGTTACTAATATCCTTACATTATAAAATTCACTCCAAGCCTACGCAACTCTCCAGTCCTCCAAAAATCTCCACACAAAAAATTACACCAATCCGTCACTCCGTTTTGACGTGAAAGAAGTACAAACTAACAAACAAACAAACAAAAAAACAAACAAACAAACAAACAAACAAACAAACAAACAAACAAACAAACAAACAAACACACTTTCACATTTATAATATTAAGTATGGATTAAAATATCTTTTTTTTTTGTAAACTTACTTGGCATATAACCAAACAAATGTTTCCTTTCTTCCGGCGTATAATCGGCTAAGTTGTTTATATCAAACGTGGCCGAAGATTGTTCTTTGTTGGCTTTATTGATAACTCTCAGTGATTCCACGAACGCTTCATAGTGAGCCTGCTTATCTGCTTCATCTTTGTAATGCCGATCGTAGTCCTTTATGAAATTTTCAAACAAAGTGGCAGCATTGCTTAAATCGTACTGTGGTTTACTATTGCTAGCCATAACGGCCGCGATGAGGACGATGAGATAACTGATAGTTCGCATGTCTGCTTCTATATTCTGTATAGTTGATATATTTGAACCCTGTTGAATGAATACAAGAGAATGACTATTGCAATGATAATAAAAACTTATTTATATGTGTACTGTGATTTGACCAAATTGATTTTAAATTACATAATTATATACATATTACATAACTTGTTTTATATTTACTTTTCATTGTTTTATATTATAGACATTAGCTTATGACGTGAGTCTTATTACTAGGTAAGTATCAACTACTACCAGTAACTCCAAATTATGCCTGAATATTTTAAAGAAGCTATTCTTATGGGGCTTTATTTGCTTTTATTATGATTATTAGGATATTAAACTTATGCCAGCCATGACAGCCGATTTAGATAAAATTTGGTAAGAAGATAGTTTGAGACCCTGAGACATAGGATACTTTTTATCTCGGAAATCATCCCTTAAGAGGGTGATAATGGGGATGAAAGTTTGTATGGGGAATCAAGCTAGGGATGAACCCGAGCGAAGCGAGGGTGAGTCGCTAGTATTAAATAAAAAAATATCATAAATTATTTTTTATTGCATTGTTTTTTATAACAAAAAAAGTTCAAAATGCACGCGGAAAAGATCCATCTTTCCTGTTGTAAAGTTTAAATTTCTTTAGTTCTCTGGTACTGGAAACAAAAAATTATCGTAATAAATAATAATATGATCCTAATAACATTATAAATGAGATAGATTATGAAACCGTTGAATGTGTTTATATTAACTGTGGCATACATACATACACGTAGTAAATACTTAATATATCTTAGTTAGTTAGTAGGTATCTATACTAAAATAATAAAGAGATAAAGTTCGTGAATTGTGAGTTTGTGACGTTGTAGCGGGTAATCTCTGGATCTACTGAACCGATTTAGATGAAATTTAATAAGACGATAGTTTGAGTCCCTGAGAATGATATAGGATACTTTATATTCCGGAAATCATCCCTTAAAGGGGTAAAATGGGGATAAAAGTTTGTATGTGGAAGCAAGCTAGCATTTTATATACCTACCGGTAATGTTCCCGTATAATAATAATTGATTTTGACATTTTATTTTTATTCTAAACTTATGAATACTGGTAATGCAAAATTAAAACAAAACTTTTATATGTTAACTTTTATATGTAAGTAATAATATTTGATTATCATTAGATAATCTGCCAGTTATTGTTCTACTCTTAGCCATAGCAACGTTCTTGACCGGTCGGTCAAAATCTTCATCACTTCTGGATTTTACGCAAATTATTAAATTATTATATTAAAAATTCAACAACAGCAGAAGAGACGGGAATACGCGGATAAAAGTGTGATGAGCTTTATTTTTTTTAACTGAACGAAACGTAATCATAACATTATCAAATAGCTGAACTATCAAGTAGCAATATTCATAATGCCCATAGCAATGATATATAATGAAAGTCAAATAATTCTTAATCAGTCATACCGATTCGACTTACCATTTATACATATCGGGCATTATAATTAGTGTCCTAATTAATCACATAGCCCATGACATATGTATGTATATAATGAATAAAACTTACCGAAACCTTTCATTCGTAGATAAAATCGGCGTATTCGTTTATATCATGAAAATCAGTAGAGTTCGCCTTTTCATTGAACTTGTTGATATCTTGCAACGTTTCCAAGAACCTTTCGTAATGAACCTTTTTATCTGCTTCATCCTTGTATTGCTTGTCGTAGTCCTTAATGAATTTTTCGAACAAAGCTGGACCGTCGGCCAAATCGTAGAACGGCTTAGTGTCGCTAGCCATAACAACCGCGACGAGGAGGACGAAGCAACTGATAGTTCGCATTGTTTACTTTCTTTTCCCTATGTGCATAAAACCAGTTCCAAGCAAAAGCTAGAATGACCAATGCTGTTAAATGACGAACTAATTTATAGGTTTGCATAAATTATTGTATTAAAATTGATTGATTTGCATGAATGTTTTTATGTAGATATTATAAATTGTAACATTATACATGCATGCAATGCTTTAATTTTTATTTTTATAGTTAAGATTCTTCATTTATTTTATATAACTTTTGCTAGCTATGTTTACCGAGCAACAATATTTCTGTTGTCAAGCGACTTTTGGTACTCATGATACCGGATTTATCTAGTGTGTTTAACTTTAGATATAAAATGTATTGTATGCTTTACTTTTTTGGCAATAAAGATTATTATTATTTAAAAAAAAGTGTATCTGTACTTATGTGCGCACGTAACAAGTATTTGTTTTTTATTTTTTTTAGAGCATTTAAATAAAATTTAAATAAAAACTTGGTTTTATTTTGTTTTTGAGTTAGTTTTTATTTATATACTTCTCAGCAAACCCTTTCATTTGATATTCATATCATGAAGGTGCACAAAAAACCTAGTCCATCATATTGGATTTACAAAACTCTCGCGTGTTTCTGTTGTGTTTCGCTCATCAAGCCCTTTCATTTAATGCCCATATCATAAGGGTCTCTATAATAGAAATGAAAAACCGCCATTTTGTAACGTCCGCCATTTTGGATTAAAAATGGCGGCATTTAAGTAATATTGCAGTCACGAGAACCAAACCTATATGCCAAATTTCAGCTCAATCGGACACTAGGAAGTGAGTCAAATTTAACTTGCAAGATTTGATTACAGACAAATGCTGGAACAGGTGAAACTAAGTAAAAACTTCTAATAAATTTTATTTTTAACGATATAAAACACGTTGTTTATATAGAAATACTGGAATAAATATCTTGAATATAGATCTCACTTCACACTATACTAATGGAAGATTTACGTTTCATACTGTAGTCTAATAACGACTAACTTTATCTTAACAAAACAAACAAATCTGTCACATCGTAAAAAGTTCACTCTCATCAACTCACATGCACTAAAAGAAGTATAACTTCAAAAAGCAAATTAATGGCCAATTATATTTGTAATTTATAACTTGACGTTGATATATTCATTGAAGATGTTAATATTATTTATAACTGGTCATCGGTTTAAGGTATTTAAAATAAGATTTAAATTGAAACAAAATTGTTCAAAGGACATTCGATAGGTTAGACCCGATCTTAATATTGTGGCGCCTAGCGAGAAAAAATCAATATATAAATTACGTATATATGCATATGTATAAATATCAATAATGCCAGTGTCCAGATGTAGCTCTTGTATTTGTGATATTTTATATAAAACTGTCATTTACTATGACGAACAGGTTTACAGGTTCTTAAATAAATATATTTTGTTTTAAAAAAAAATATTTTTTATAAGTGTGTTTGTACCTATGTACGCACGTAAAAACTCGGTCTGCGCGCGCACCGTAAAAGTTTTATGCTCATATTTTTTGCAAGTGTGCCAAAAGAATTATAAATTCCAAAAATATTTTTCGTCGGGTTTATCGATTAATGACGACGCAGCACCACTAAAATTATAATCGCACCATATTAAATCATGTTAGAGTTTAATATATTGAGTTTATATAATGATAACAATAATAAAATATTAAATATTTATAGTAATCACACATTTTAATACATTGAATTACATAATATGGAGAACTCTAAAGGTACGAGAACAGGCGGTACCACAAGTGGTAACGAATTATGATTCTTGGTCTACAACAGCTTTTGTTGATTTCTTGTGAAATTTACTTCTTATCTGAAAACAAAATATAATATGAAATGAAATCGAATATTTTTACATGTTACTATTACTATTTCTTCTAAATCGAATATTTATAATGAATAATTATATTAAACTCCGATATCTATAAAGTATGCCAATACCTCTTAGAAGAAGTTCAGAAGTAAAGTTCTTTTAATTTCTATAATAAGTTAATATATTTAGATTAAACTGTCATTCCTTTAAAATAATTGCTAGGACATTCACAATTATCATATATTACAAGATCACTACATTAGTTACTAATCCTATTTCCAGCGTCCTATTTGATTCCAGTTGTTTATCGTAATTATCGCAAAGCCGCAAAATATGAAGGATAAGCTCTATGAATAAAACGTCATCGATAGACGTTAAATTAGGGTAGCGCTACTGGTAGCTTTAAGAAGTCTACTTTGCCAAAAGTGGAGTGCTGCAAGGATCAAACTTGGGATCTGTTTCATTTCTTATCTACATAAACAACACAGCCAAAAATATTAAGCATTGTAAAAGCTCATTATTTGCAGAGAACCTTATAATATATAAAACTTTAAAAACAAATAAAGATGTAGATTAAATACAGGCCTTAATAACATTAATGAATAGTAATATCTTAATCAAATAACATTTATTGTAAGCAAATGTTTCCATATTACATTTACGCGTAACAAAACATCACTTGTTTTTAAATATTTTATATCAAAAGTTTCCTTAATAGTATTTGGGAAGCTCTTTTACCTCAATTATCTATACATATAGTAGAGGTCGAATGTCTGTACATAGAAAAAAAATGCTAAAAACCGAGTCAGGGGGGTGTAAGAAGACAAATAGAACAAATCTAGACCTTTTTCAATTTTTTTGTTTCTCTGTCTGTTTATCTGTTTGTCTGTTTATCTGTTTGTCTGTTGGTACGGGTTAATCTCCGAATTGATTGAACCGATTTAGATGAAATTTTTCATGGTGGTACCTTATATCCCCAGGCAACATCTTAAATTTTCACCCCGAAAAATAAACAGTTCCCGTGGGATAGTCAAAAAACTATAGTAACTTATACAGCTTAGTACACAAAAAGTACTGATTGGATTTTGATGAAACTTTACAATAATATTCATACTAATATTATAAATGTGAAAGTGTGTGTGTTTGTTTATTTGTTTGTCTTTCTTTCACGTCGAAACGGCTTGGCGGATTGGCGTATTTTTTGTGTGGAGATAGTTGGCGGTCTGGAGAGTGAAATGGGCTACTTTTTACCGTGGGAAATTATCTCTTTCCCACGGTAAAAGACGTTATAATACAACCCAAAAAAATATTTATGATCAGAATTACTTGAATCTTGGTGTCATTGCTCTTTAATAAAATGAAATAAATACGTGTTTTGGCATTTTTGGATATTCTACTATAAGGAGGTAAAATAAGGGATGAAAGCTTGTATGAAACTATCTTTTTAGAGATTTTTTGTAGTTTTTGACTACCTTGGTGGTGTAGTGGCTAGCATGTACGGCTGCACGCCCGGAGGTCCTGGGTTTGAGTCCCGGGTCGGGCCAAGTTTAGTTATTGAGTCTTTCTGTATAGTAAGTCTCAGTAACAGCCCGGAGTTGGGAAGTTGGCGGTGTTTCACCCCCGTGCCTCGGAGAGCACGTAAAGCCGTCGGTCCTGCGCCTTAACTCTTACCGGTCGTGTCGAGTGGTCGTCCCACCGGAGTATGAGAGTGATAGGAATAGAGAGTGCACTTGTGTCTGCGCGTACACTTGAGCACTGTAATATCTCCTGCGCAGTTGGCTAATCTCAATGAGATTGGCCGCCGTAGCCGGAATTGGCTAGGAGAACATCATCACTTTTTGACGACAGCTAAGCCGTGGACAGAAATGAAACTACATACAATTTAAACTTACGAATTGAAACCATGCACTTTCTCCTTTTCTTCTGCCGTATAATCGGCGAAATCATTTATGTCATATATAGTAGAGTCTGAATTTTCATTTAATTCGTTAATCATCTTTAAGCTTTCAACGAAAGCTTCATAGTGAACTTGTTTATCTTCTTCATCCTTATAATGCCGACTGTAGGCCTTCATAAATTTCTCGAACAAACCTGGAGCGTCATTTATATCATAATGTGGAGCTCTGCTGCTAACCAAAGCGACCACTACGAGGAGGAAGAGGCAACTGATATATTTTCGCATAGTTTATTTTCTCTATGTGCCTTCTTCGAAGATGACATTATAATGACTTACCAGTTGATCGAGCTCCTTTATATCATTGCCGTAAAATCAGCAAATCCTATTGATTTGCCGATTTTACGCCTTATAATATGTAGATGAAAAATTATTCACAATCTATACATACTCGTATAATAAAAATGTTACTAAACCGAATCTGTACATTAAATATTTTTTCGAAAATCTTACTGAAATAGACATCATAACGATACAGAGGCCGAATCTATAGTCTTTAGATTTGTCTGTTCGTCTGTCTGTCTATCTATCTGGCTGTCTATCTGTTACCGCTTCACAGAAAAACCACTGGAAAGATTTCGATGAAATTTGGTATGATGATAACTGGGTATTCGGGTCAACATATAGGATACTTTTTATCGCGGGAAAATATCTCATTTCTGAGAAAAAAATACAAAAACTTGTTAGAATAAAATCACGATGATACTATAAACATTTTAGCAAGGTAACTTACTAAATATGCCAAAAAACTATTACAAATAGCTTATCTCGGAAAAAAATTATGAATAGCGTTATTTTATTCATTAAAATAACTCCAAAAATTCAAATTATTTATGTATTATTTAGATATTTGTCAATAGATGTCGACATGTGTTTTTAAATTACGTAGTTTTAATTCCAAAAAAGTGAATGTACAGATAACCTTTCTATGTTTTTATTAGAATAACTAACCGCAATTACCCGCCGGTGTTAAAATTTTCAATAAAACAATTTTTGACTTTATAAATTAGAAATATATTAGTAATATAATACTAGCAGTACTCCCGGCTTCGGCCGCGTTCAGATTTTATAAAAAATAAATTTGGCTTTATGTTTTAACTGCTTGCTTGATTGCTTGATTTGCTTTGTATCGGCTGGCACCCACTTAAAAAATATCTGATTAGGTATCTGTTCTAAATGAAAACCCCCGTTTAGTTATTTTTACTTTTTAGTACCTGAAAGTCGATTTTTGTTTTTTTTAAGTTCCTAGTAATTGAATAATTACGAACTAGCTGGCTGGTTCCGTATGTCATTTTTGTAAAATTAAATGTTTTTCATTAGTTTTTAGAAGTAGGTAACATGTAATAATACTAGTATATAAAAGGAAAAAAATGTAAATGTACCGTGAGTATATGACAATTGATAATACACTTTAATAAATACAAAATATAAATAATTAATAATTAAGTATATTATAAATAAATAGGTCTATTTGCTTGTGTGTTTAAAATAGCTTTGATCCATTTTTCCTGAAATAATTTGTATATTAGGTATAAAACGAAGCATAAAATTAAAAAAAAAACGATTACATAGGTTTGTTTTAGTAATAGAGCATATCTCAAAGTAACTTAATATTTCTTGAATAAACTTTGACACTTTCAATATTTTAGAAACAAAAATATTATTATTATATAGTAATAAATGTACGAGTACTGTAAATATATAAAAATAAACTTAGCAATCACTAAACCAAACCAGTCATTTTTGCCCATTCATCCATAGTGTAATCGGAGAATTTGTTTATGTCAAATGTAGCAGAGGGATGCGCCTTGTTGGCATCAATGATAAATTTTAATGATTCCACAAACGCTTCATAGTGAACATTTTTATCTGCTTCATCCTTGTAATGTCGGTTATAGTCTTTCATGAATTTTTCGAACAAAGCTGGAGCGTCCTTCAAATCATATTGCGGCTTATTATCGATTGCCAAAGTGACCGCGAGGAAGACGAAACAAATGATACTCTGCATTATCTGCTTCATATTTACGAAGAACACTTTACTAACTTAACGGTTCGCAAATCTGCAGTGACCAATGCAGTGATATTACAGCCTATTTATAGGCAGGCTTTGTACAAAAATACATATAATTCTTTGAGAGGAAATACAAAATGCTTTTGAAGAGTTTGTTAGCTCTCGTACAGCTGGCTTCTTCAAGGGCATTGAAAAATTACCACTACGTTAGCAGAGATGCATCGATCGTATGGGTGCATATTTAAATTGATAGAAATAAAAAATATTTATTAAAATAATGTGTGTATACGTAGAATGCGGAATACGTTAGTCTAAAGATTACCCAAATACAATCTATTCAAGCGCGAAATTTCGCATGAAGTAGGAGGTATCTCCAATGTTAGGTTACGTTACATTAGGATTTTTTTTATCTCTCCCCCAACGTGCGTTCACCTTGTCGTGGTGAGGGGCTCATTAGCGTCCGGCAGTTCAGCCGGATGCGAAGCCAAGAAACGCACAGGAAGGTGGCACACTTCGGTAGGCAGTGTTCCGTGCGGGTTGCTCCTGGTACTTCTCTGATAGCAGAGTGGACTGTGGAGCTACCCCATGGTTATTGTGGTCTGCTCTGCCGTCGGGGCGTTGTAGTTGAGTACGTAAGCGATCCTGCGACGCCCCATTAAGACCGAGGAGGTCTTGTTGGATTTTAGTGGGTAGTACTGGCTTTTCTAGCCGGTGAGACCCACATAACCACCTATATGTCTACAGGTACCATTTGTAGACATACAGGTGGTTGTATGTATGGTAGGTGTAGGTTGGATGTATGGTGTATGGGTATACGTAAATGCATTTATCTATTACATTTTACCTAGTAAGTTAATCACGTAAATACGAGTATAAGAAACATTATTGTTATATCATCAATAATTTTTTATTTTTTTATTATAAACAAAACCCTTTTCTCCGAATTGTCTTCACCTTGTTACTGTTTAGATCGGAACAGTAAAGGCATACAACTAGCACGCTTTAAAGCCATTAACAAGAAAATTGAATTGAATTTTAAAGGCAGCAGTTTTCATTTTTATTTTCATACAGATACTCTTTATATTTATTTGATAGCAGAATGGAACGCGAAAACATTTACAACAACACAATAAACAATGTGACAAAACTATGTTTTTATTACTTTAATTCTTATTACTTATAAAAAAATTATTTACTTATTAAAAAATAGTCAAAGAGAATGTAAATAATAATATTATAGTACCAAACACCAATAAACAAATTTTACAAACAAGTAACATAAATAATAGAAATGTTCCATTCTTTAGTATTCTGTCGCAATAAATAAATAAATAATGTATTACACGTTCCTTGTCAGTTGTCTAAACACTTTATTTTAGCCTAATCTTTTTTTTTATACATACTATATATTACATATATATATATGAACAAATGTTATTTTGTATGTTCGCTATCCATGAGCTAGTTACATTAGTAGAATTAAAACTTTGAGCTTACTGGGCTCCTCTACGAATAGTTTTCTTATATACCACCATCGTTAACTGTATATGGCGCGCGAGAGATATTAAAGTTTGATATTTTTAAATTGAAAATAAATACAGTAAGATAATTAAGGTACAGCAGAAAGTTTAAGATGTATGTACATAATGAGTATATAAAATATTATGTAAGACGAGCACAGAGCACTGTGAAACGTTAGAGCGTGATCGAAGCCACAGTATAAATATTAAATATTACTATAATTTATTAGCACTATTATAATATATAAGCATTATTATTTATTTGTCTTCTCGGTGCCCTTGAAAGAACTACCTACAGCCTCAGTAAGTAAACACACAATAGGGTTGCCCACTAACTGTTTCTCTTGTGTTACATATTTGATAATATTTGGTTTGGAGGAAATGGACTTAAAAGCGTTTGATCTTATTGAATTTTGTGTTCTTGCATAGTGTATTAAATAATAAAAAAATATTTTTTTAAAATAAAATAACAAAATAAACTCGCAGGAACGTCTCACAGAATCCTACATAACTGCGGCGCATTCCCATCGCTTCAACCGTTTATATGAAGATTCAAGACATAATAGGTACTATTATCCATTCTATGTGTAATGCTTACATAGTTATATCCTTCTTTATCATGAATGTAATATAGAATCAATTTAAAATACACTTTATAATATAATAAACCTTGTAATACTTACAATAATTACCACAAAACCTATTAATACATGTATATATTTAGCACGATAAATGCATAAGCATATCCTTTTGAGTGTGTGTGGAAAATAAATAACATTTTATTGTGTTACTATCATACAGATATCATTATCACTCCAATATTACCTACCCGTTATTATTTATGTAATAACATTATAACGAAGTAATTATTTGTTGAACAAAATTATTTGTTTCTAGAAATTCTTCAATTAATACTCGTATATAGCAACATTATCTCTGAATGATACACGCTACTTTTAACCCCCGACACCACAAAATGGGGTGTTATAAGATTGACGTCAATGTCTGTCTACGTGTGTGTGTGTGTGTGTGTATGTCTGTGGCATCGTAACTCTCAAACGGATAGACCGATTTCAATGCGGTTTTTTTTTCATTTGAAAGCCAGTATCCTTGCGGTGGTTCTTAGCTATGTTTGGTTAATATCGGTCCAGCAATGTCAGAGTATCAGCTCTTTTCCAAAATGATGTAAGGCATTTTGGCGTATGATTACTCGATTAAGTGCTTCACGCGTGCCAGTGTAATCGTTAAATGACAATTAATTTGCGTAGGGGATTTTTCAATTTTTAATTTTTATTTCGATATATCAATGTACAGTACAATACCTTTGGAAACCAAAAATCAAAATAAATCCGCGAAATAATACGAAAAGATAGTATTATTTAAAAAGTATTTAAAATTGTTTCGGCTCGGCTATGTTCAATACCTCACATACTATCACTATAATGACTCGGTTTGAAATTTTAATTGGCTTGTAAAATTAAATTAGTACCTTTTTTCTTTTTTTCTTGTATAAAGAAATAACTTATCAGTAATTTTAAAAAGCGTGACTTAATAAGATGCCAAACAATGAGAAATATATAATTTCCTTGTACGGTATTTATGTATTAAAACAAAAACAATGATGTCATTTGTATTTCTAGCAAGCTTCTTAAAATTAAGTATTTGTGTGACTGACGAAATTATGTGCATAACTCAGTTGCACTTAAAGTTGGTACAGGCAGTATGTAAGTGCATTCTCTATTCCTTTTCACTCTCAAAGTACGATATGAACGAAGAAGCGATGCTTCGGCAAGACCGGTAAGAGATCAGGCGTAGGACCGACGGTGATACGAGACACAGGTATAACATCGCCAACTTCCCAACTCCCTGCTACTACTAAGAATTTCTTAACAGGAAAACTCTATTAACATTTTAACGTTTAGTATAGATTTCTCAGAGATGTGATGTGATATGTTGAACCGGCTAATCAGCTATCATCATACCAAATTTCATCAAAATCTGTCCAGCGGTTTTCTCGTGATGCGTTCACAGACACACAGGCAAAAATTTTAAAAACTATAGATTCGGGCTCTGTATCGATAACACTCATTATTTCAGTAAGATTTTCCAAAAAATATTTAATGTACAGATTCTACTCAGAATGCTATTATATGTATGTATAGATAGATTAATATTTCATACAATAATAAACAGACAGCTTCTTTTTAAAATAAAATATTAATTCAAAATTATGAACAAAGCTGTGAAATTCAAACAAACCAAAAGACATGCAATTCAATATATAATAGTAATATGTAGTACAAATAATTAGTATCGTTAGCGATTGAAATTCGATTAATTAATTAATAATTATATGTAAAAAAATAAAACTCATAATAATCGCTTTTCCAATATTTTATTTTTATCTTAATTTCTATTATACGGTCTATTTAAATGTTGATTTTCACGCAATAATCGTTTCTCCGCAACTGATTGCCTTTTGCAAGGGGAAATGATGTATATATTATTTTGAAGACCTAAATGGCAACTCACATGAATTTTCAGTAAGTTCAATTTTGGTAATTACTTAAAAATAATTAAAACAAAACATATTTAAATTTTCAACATTCATATAAATATATTATATAACAAAAACTATTATAAATGCGAATATTTGTGTGCGTGTAAGTTTGTTACTCCTTCACGCTGAAACGGCTGGATGGATTTGAATAAAAATTAGTATATGTACACTGTACAGGTATACTATGACCTAGTCTGAGTAACAAACGGGCTAATGTTAGTTACAAAATTTGTCAAATTGTGGCGTTACCGGCATATCTTATACTAATATTATGAGTTTGTTAGTTTGTGACGTTGTAGGGGGTAATCTCTGGATCTACTGAACTGATTTAGATGAAATTTGGTAAGAAGCTAGTTTGAGACCCTGGGAAGGATATAAGATACTTTTTATCCCGGAAATCATCCCTTAAGTGGGTGTAAATGGGGATGAAAGTTTGTATTGGGAAGTAAACATCAAGCTAGTAATATTAGGAATACAAAAATCAGCCAGGTACGCCCAAGATATAGAAGGGTAAGTTACTAGTATAGTTACATATTTGACGTCAATAGATTAATAATGAACGATATTAATCATGCTGCCAGCGCCAAAGTTCAATAAATCTGGAGCAAGTAATATAGATATAATACATATAAGCATAAAATATTAAAATATATTAAAAAATTAAAATCCAATTACGAATATCTCGTATATCTCTCGAAACTCTATATTGCACTGATTCAAAAAAACTCATATACATAAATCATTTTTAATAAATTAAAATATTATTTACATACACTACACGTTAGATTATATTTACGGTTTGATTTATTACAACTAACACGTATATATGTAGTAATATACAGTACATAACAATAACAAAACAAAAATATTACACTATAGTCTTGTATCACTAGCATTACCCGTTTGTGTCGGCATTGTTATTTCTGAAACAATAAAATTCAAATGAGCGGATATTATGAAACGAATTAATTTTAATGGATGTTATTTTAATAATAAATGGTGTCACGAGAGGCCTAAATGTTAATATCTAACAATAATAAATTTTAAACGCTAATTTATCTTTTTAAATGTAATGAAAACACGCTTTGGTTATAGGTCATCTTCATCTGAATTTATATGGTACTCCATTTATAAATTTGTTTAATAGTAAATAATTTTATTTATAAATTATTATTTCTAAACACATGGAATGTAATGCTAACAATGTAATAATCTCATTCAATTACAACTTTAATATTATTCATCTCTGTGTATACAAATCGCTAAGTTTTTTTTTTTTGGATTAAATATAATCCTTTCTCCTTCTCGCTCTTTTATTAGGGGGCAGATAGTCCTCCCAAAATGTTCATGGTGGGAGCTCATTAGCGACAATCCAAAGGCGCGACGCTAAGAAACGCACAGGGTGGTGGCCCACTTCGGTGGGCGGTGTATCATGCGGGTTGCTCCTGGTACTTCTCTGAGAGCAGAGTAGACCGTGGAGCAATCCATGGTTGTAGTGGTCTGCTTCGGCAGACCTGCCGTTGGGGAGGTGTGATTGAGTACGTAAGCGATTTTGATATGCCACATTAAAACGGGGGAGGTTTTAGTGGGTAGTACTGACTTCTCTAGCCGGTAAGTCCCACGTAACCACCTGTATATGCAGTTTGTATGTGTAATGCATTTCCCAGCATTAACAAAACTTTTCTTCACTTTCCATTAATATAAGGAGGACTTGCCTTGTATAGAATGAATATCGGTATGCGATAGTACAAATATGATCAATAAAAAATCACCCCATACGAGAATGGAACCCACTTTCAGGCGTGTCAATTATTAATATACTCCACTGGCCTATGTTCGCTATCATTCCACAGATTTTATTATATTTTTACGTTTACATTACTATCAATCACTGTCAAAAAAAGGTTTCATGTGTATTTATATTGATTGATGAAAAAACATCATGAATAAAGAAAGAATAAGCTCTGAACGTGTTACCTGGATGCTGGAATATCATGTAACAATTCTTTGATAGTGTATATAAAATATTTTTATATAATAAAATAGAATTATGCAATAAAAAGTGCATTATTTTCTAGGTTAATATGGAATGATATGAAATTTTTAAATATTTTTTTATAACAATACATATTTACAAACATTTGATGAAATAATACAATATTGAAATACAAAAAAAAATTATATGTGAACTCACCTAACAAGTATACTCTCAAGTTACTATTATCACAGTACAAGGGTTCTGGTAGAACACTATTCAATTTTTCCTTAATTAACGAATTAGCATCGCACCACACCACACGGCCATTGCGTGACCATTCTTGAACTAACATTTTTAAACTCTGAAAATAAAATTATGTACTTGTTAAACAAGAGTATTTAATTATTTCATATTCTGCAACTTCTAACTTTAGAGGATAATGTAGAATTTTTAAACAAGGTTTCATTATTCTATGAAGATTTTCAGCTTTAAGCTTGTTAATGTTTGCAAGAATATTATGTAAGTGAAACTTAGTTTAGCTACGTGACCTTTATATGTATTAACGTACCAGACTTTTGTAGTTTGTTCATATTTCTTATGAATAAAATTGGAATATAAAAAAAATAATGAAAGCAACATTACAAATAAATAAAAATAACATTAAAAACAAATGTATATATATATATATATATATATATATATATATATATATATATATATATATATATATATATATATAATAAAAAATGATTCTGCGCTATTTCTCTTAGTTACACATGCACGAACTCGTCATAATTTATCGAATTTTAATAGTATTACAATAATAACAATGTAAAAAAATAAAAAAACAACTGTCACAAGGCCGTCGTCCCTAACTATACTTGCAATAATATTCACCAATTTATATGTCAAGAAAAGAAGAAGTAAAAAAAAACCACTTTAGGTCATAGATTTTCTTTCCGAAATAAATCACTTTCGTTGCGCCCTTGCTACCTAAGAGTATGATATACTCGTACTATATAACACTCATACAAGTAAAATAAAACAGATTTTATCTATAACATTTTCACATCCATTCGAAAATAAACTCACATATCTTAAACATCTGGTCAAGAACTTTATAATAGCTTAAGTAATAGCTGAAGTAGCTTTTAATAAGTGGCGATACAATGAAAGTACTAATAAAAGATAATTATTCAATTTCAATATAAAGACAAAAAACCTTTTCCCTTGGGTAGAAACTAGGAGTATAAATGATGAAATATAGCATGAATATTTTTTCTCATATAAAATCATATTACCCTAAAGAACTGATGTAGCGGTGATCAAAGGTTGTTAATAGGGGAATAATCGCTTAAGGCTCCGTTTGTGCTCAATGACTTGTACGTTAGTTACGTGTCTAGTAATTGTTTTTAAATAATAACTAAGCTACTTGACATTTATACATCTACTTATTTACTAAAAAAATATATACTTTTCAAATAAATTATTTACATATAAAAAATATTATGAAACCAAAAACGATCGTATATAAAAATGTTGACATAATAAATCTACTCTGTGAATCTAAAATAGATAATTAACACAGTAAAGTCAGCTCATACCTAGTAAATGATGTTTTAATAAATTAATGTGCGGTGGAAATTGGAACCAAAACTTTTTAATAATGTGATCAAACCTCATTAAATTATCAAAAAGTATATAGATTATTATGTACGATAGGTAGGTATATTAACATAATACTATTTCTATAGTAATTAAACTAAAAAAAACATCTACAAGAAATTAATAATTATATATTTTCGTTCTTATCCTTTTGTAAAATGAAATGTTTTCCCTCCACGATCGCGGGCACGCCGCGCCGGCGGCGTTACAGTTAACAATAGATTTCATAGAAATTTACCTGGAGATGTAACACCTCCAGGTAAATTTCTAAGAAATCTTAAGTAAATTAATGGTATTTATGAGTAACTAGGCATCAAAAAGTGTATTTTTAACCGACTTCCAAAAAGGAGGAGGTTATCAATTCGTCGGAATCTTTTTTTTTTCTTTTTTTTATGTATGTTCATCGATTACTCCAAGATGCCTGAACTGAATTGGAAATTTTTTGTTTTGTTTCAAAGGGTATACTTCCCAGGTGGTCTTATATAAATTTTATTGAAATCGGTCGAGAGGTTTTTTAAAAAAATCAACAATAAATATTTTTTTAAATAAATTGTTTAATCGAATATGTTATTAAAAATCTTTCTTCTTACATATTACCTGCTTATTACGTCTACACTAAAAATGGGAAAATAAAAAACTTTTTAACAAAAAATAAAAACCGTCTCCCAGGCACTAAAATGTAAAAAAATAACTAAACGGAGATATTCATTTAGAATAGATACCTAATCAGATATTATCGAAGTCGGTGCCAGCCTACAATATTTTAAGATATGAATATCTAATAGGTAAATATGTATTTTACGTATCGAAATATATTAAATTTGCTTTACAACGGCTGGCACCGACTTCGAAAATATCTGATTAGGTATCTATTCTAAATGAAAACCTCCGTTTAGTTATTTTTTACATTTTAGTGCCTGGAAGTCGGTTTTTATTTTATGTTAAAAAGATTTTTGAAATTATAATTTCACATAAAAGTGAACACAAATTTTGTATTGAGTACTTCGATTTAGCCAGTCGTTAACTACGATCGAAACCGATATTATAATTTTGTATCATAAATAAATAGTCTGAGCAGATTTATACTAACGTAACTTAGGCATAATTGGTTTACAACATGGAATTAATTAACAGTAGAATATGAAAATTGTATGATAATGCAGCCTCGTGTTCGCATCAGTTCAATGCGAACCGCAACCACAACGTCAAATCACATGCATGTTGATATCGAAACCACAATTGTTATAATTTGCTTTTATCCTAGATATCGCCATATCGAGATAAACTCCATACTGCCAGCAGAAACAAAGAATCAACTAGGTATGTAATTACAAAGCTAATTGTAAGAACAATACGTTGTTCAGTATATGCGTATATGTTCGTTTATTGCTTAAATCATTTTAGATTTTCGTATAAACTCTATCAGTCAGATATCAATTTTGATTACGAAGGCTTAATGTCAATATTTAAATATGTATCGTATTTTGATATCAATAACGTAATGTAAATATTAAATGGCACCAATTATTGCTTTACTATTAAATTGTTTTCATTATAAGATATTAATATAACTGGCATACATATTATATGTAATTAATTTAATTTTGACCGGTTTCCAATTTTTAAGTGTATTTCTAATTAATTGTTATCTATGGGTGGTACAATACATAAAAACCCATCCCAAAGAATGACGAAGTTAGTGGAGTGTATAAAGCTATTTAAGGTTTTTTTAATTTTTTTAGTGTTTCGATCTATATAACTATAAATAAAAATATACGGAAAACCATGAAATTTATAAAAAAAATATGTTTACCAATTAACTTTAATAAGTAAAGTAAAATTAATTAAAAATATATTAAAAAGTTATTACACTAAATAACCAAACCTGATTGAAGATTTAGCGATATAGCAAAGGTTAACCGTAATGAAAACCAACAGATTAATAAATCAAGTTAAAATAAATACACTAAACGTATGTATATACTAGGATAACTGTCACGATGGGCGTGAAATTTAATTAATTTACAACATAGAATGAATTTTGTATAGTAATAGTTACGCATGTTAGCATCCATGCGGACCACCACCGCAACGTCAAATCACGTGCATGTTGTTATCGAAACCACACATTTTACTGCGCCTTTATACTACAGGTTGAAATAAACTTCACGCGAAATTACTAAAATATGAAAACTATATTTTACCCACAATTATTACTATAATCACAGATCATATAATACTATTCTAGTACTATAATAATGTACAATTTATTAGCTGTATAAAATTATACCGAGCTTCGCTCGGAGTTTTTTGCCTAAGGTACAATTTTCTTTTTTTTTAAACTAAAAACTTTTATAAATATTAAAAAAAAAACAAGAGTAAAAACTTTGTATGCGACCGATATTCGAAGCGGGACACCTGTGATTGTTGATCTTACACCTTGGCCGCTTGACCATGACGCTTATGCTCGAGCGTGCAAATTACCTACCATATTTTGCGTGGAATAATGCAAAATTAAACTACATGAAAACTCGAAAACACGTGTTTTCTCAGACATAAGACTAATCTAGATCGATTTATCGCCCCCGAAACCCCCGTGTGCTAAATTTCATGAAAATCTCTTATATATACAAGAATTGCTCGTTTAAAGATATAAAATAATAAGATAATTTAACGGTCTTTTATTTATGTGTATTTTTTACATCTATAATCTATATTATAACGAGTTTTCATACAAAAAAAAAGTTTGTACAAAAATAGTTAAAAATAATAGAGCTTTATATAAATACAATAATAAAGAAAAATCATTTTTATTAACAGAATTTCCAAAATTATATAATATGTAGGTATGTATATGAACGTATGTAATTAACATATTTACGTTACGTGGACCGACGGACGTGTCAAGGTAAAAATATAAATTATTATATACACAAAGGAAAATATATGCAATGAACATGCATATGTATTTGTAAAACAACGAACTCGTTTTTTAAATACACGTGGTTTGACAGTAGAAAGGACTACAAAAACCTACACGGGCATTTACCGATGCCAGAAAATATATTTGTAACGGATATTACATAGGCCTTGGTACGCTCCCTACATTTTATTCATATTTTTAATGTTATGATACACTTTTGTACCATAATTTTTATATTTTCAAACTATTTTAATTAAAAATTCAACCACAACAAAATCTTTTATGAATTATTACTATAAATTTCAATATTTTGATATTGTTGCAGTTTTAGTATTCATAATTTTATAATATATTTGAATAACAAAAAACTATTTGTTACTATCGAAGAGTCGCCGCTATCAATTTTAATATAAATTATATTATATACTTAGCAAAAAGTTAATACACCTACATAATATACGCGTGTAGGTACTAAGAGATTTTCTAAAGAAAACCAAGCTTTAACAAGTTAAAAATAAAATATTTAATAGTGGTTTTTATCTTTAAATTAAACCTCACTTTATGTGGTACATACTGTGAATTTATATATTGAGATAAGAATAATGTTTAAAACTGTCGTATTGAGAAAACAAAATGTCGTTTTACCCGCGTGTACATACAATTTTCTTTGTAGAAATTTTAATTTAAACTTGCTAATTTTCAAAGTAACTATTACTATATTATAATCAATGATATATGCTATCAGGATTAGCTATAAACTATAAAGCATAAATGCTATCCATTTCTGTAATACCTAATTTTTCATCGCTAAATCAACTTAACAAATAGATAACTTAAATCTTTCATGAAAACTTATATTATGTAATACTTAAATTGTAGATAAACTATATAATATTATACTTAAAGTGGTGAGTACATAAAAAAATTAAAACGAAAGAGGCAACATGGCTGGATAGTAATCGTTTTAGTCGTACTATGCGCTTCGCAATGAATCACCGGTGTGTTCAAAGATTTTCTTCTTTGTGAATCTGCTCAAGCGTTCTTGTAGTATCGTTTAGTAATAAATAGTACTCTAATAAAATTTCTTTTCAAATTTTACACTAAATGTGATTTATATATAAACAGAAAATTAAGTATACATTTTTTTAAATTTCCAGCACAAAATATGTAAGTAGGTACTTGCAGAAAATGTTAATGTGTTATTATTATTATTTATGTTGGGTGTGGTGCCAAGGTCGGCCCTAGCTACGTCGACCAGTTTTGGTCCATTGTAGCTCCCTTTATAGTGAGTTCAAAGTTCTCCGCTTAGTCCTGTTGACTCCAGGAACTTCCAGATTTTCTGAGCGGGGAGCATCTGTATCTCTTCCGGTTGCATAATATGCTGCCCTAGATAGATACTTCTGCGGTGCATGAGTGGACCGCACGAGCAGAGGATGTGCATAGCAGTTTCCTCTGTCTCATGGCATAGTCTGCACATTGCGGTCTGACTGAGGCTGTTAATGTGTTAGTATTCTTCTAAGAAAATTATGATTTTTTAGGAAAACTTGATTCAAAACGTAGTTCATTAAACCAGAATATACTATAATATTTCTTTCATTCCAAAATCTTTTTCGGTAGAATAGCTATCGACATGGGAGTACTATCACAAATCTCATTAGGAACTACGAATATATACAACGAAAACTTATAACGCCCTATCCCTTATGGAATAAACATAGAGGATATAGAGGACTCCGTTGTCTCCGAGGAAAACAGTGTTTAGTGGCAAAACAAACTTAGCGAGGGCGGATTCGTCCCGATCTCGCTTTACGTGGAAAACATACTATAGAATTCATTGCCACCTTTTTTGTTTTTAATGCACTCTCCCTTCACCTAATACATAATATCATCTATATACATCATGACGTTTCAATCAAGAATAATAAATAGATAAATAATAATAAATATGTTGGGACATTAATACACAGCACCATCTAGTTCCATGGTAAGCTACGAGGCTTGTGTTATGGATACCAGATAGTTGATACACTACACATATATAAACTTTAAATATATACATATTATAAATATAAACACCCATGACTGGAGTACAAACATTCGTGCTCCTCACATAATGAATGCCGCCAGCGGGACTCGAACCCGCGACCGCAAATAAAGTGATCATATACATTATATACACGACTTCCCTACGCAAAACCGTTTGACCAATTAAATGCAAACACTGCAAGCATTTTGATAAAATTAGTAATAATACACATTTTCATCAACCATTGGGTAGATCTTGTTATAACCTATAACACATACTGCGGCTCGACCAACGAGTAGCCTTATAATGAATCATGATCGGTATTTAAAATGTAAATATAAACTTGTGTATCAAAGCTCAAGTAGAAACTAGCATTTAAGTAAAGGAACTCGCAGACTAATTATAAACAAAAACAGCCTTACAGAAATTTCATGAAAAGTTGTTATAGAGATAATTTAATATTGCTATATCCAACGATTTTAAGAAAATAAATATATGATTTATATAGTCTAAGATCCGAAATAAGGTTGTGCTTCTGCTTTATAATTAAGAATATTTATAATTTTCTTTATTGTAAATATTCAATAATTAACAAAACTTATAAGACGTTTTATACAGGTATGGACTAATATACCCCCAGAAAATATGATAACCCTTTATAACAAACAACTTTGAAAAATTGTGTAATACATTTTCTAACTAAACTGTAATAAATTTTCGACTTGTTCAATTATTTTATCCTTTGTAACTTTGCACTCTACACTAACATGCTTTCTTCAGAAGACGAGATTTATTCGAAGTTTTATTAGTATAACATGTCCTAGATTTGGGTACACGATTAAAGTGAATTTATATAAAATTTCATATAAACTTTATTTTTTTGCTAAAATATTCATGAAATAATTGAAATAGCTTGCTATCATATTATTAAGTTAATCTCATGAAGGGGTAAAAAAACACTAATTTATATATGAGAATACTTACATTTATAGAATATATTATAAACTTTACATACCTGTAAAAAAGTATAGTCCAATCTGCAAAGCGCGTCGCAATGCACCACTAGCACGTTGGCGGCTCGTCTCGGTTCGACCGCACCATTGCTAATACCATCTGGTATGATAGTCAGATTTTCCAATCTCACATCTGTATTCGGCACTTTTTTTGTATGTTTCAGGGAAATCAATCTAGATCGGACTTTTTCAGCACTTGCAAAGTGAAATCCACCGATTGGGTGTACGGAATAATGAGGCGGAAGAAAACCGTTCTGCAAAGGACCGGATTTAACTGAATGAGCTAATTCAATTCAATTTATTAAAAACGTTATAGGAATAAGCCTTAAAAGTAACAATGTACAAAATATATATGGTGGTTATAGATTCGATCTTACACAGAGTGACGAATTACATTCAGTATTTAATTTTCGACTCGAATTTTCAAAACAAACGTTAGGTATTTCGTTATTTATTTACCTTTACTCGTGCATATTCTTATGTTAATATTGACACAAGAAGAAGAGTAAAATTAGCTTATAATTTATCGACCTCTAGTTTTAAATGTATGTAACGTTTTCAATATGATCTGATACGTTTACTAGCCTAATCTTTTATCTATATAAATAAAAATAAATGTTAGTATGTTTGTCTTCTATACATTCCTAAACCATTGGTCCGTTTGTGATGAAACTCTGATGGGTTATTCTACATACGCCTGCAAAGTTTCTTGGCGCATAAAAAGGATTTTTATGAATTTAGTAATATATGTATAAAGTTAATATTTTATTTAAATGTTGTTAAGTTTTTCAGAGCATAATAATTATAATATCTCGTAAATTATCTAATAACCTCTTTATATATTCTAATATTCAATTTAAAAAAATCCTTCTCTTGTGAAATACTAAGAAGCATTTACTTAACTCAGTAAATATATCGTACTAAAAAGACTGACCTTTCAAACGATTCAAAGGAACATGATAAGTAACATAATCATAAAATAACATGATCATAAAATGGAAACAGCGTCAATATTTAGATTTACATCACTTAACTCATTTGAACTTGTATATATATCAACTTATATTTTAAAATTATTTAATTATAAATAAATACAAAAAGATACCAATATTTGTTATTATTTGATTGAGGATAATTGCTTCGTCTTACATCTTATTCATATATCAAAACCTCAGAATAACTAAAGAAATATATTTATAGACGAAGTCCGCCAAAATAAATGTCAAAGTCAAAAATAGTCACTTATTTTGTTGTTCAAGCTACTATTTTCGAATTTACCATATTACTTTTTTTTTAATTTTATCTATACTTTTATACTAATATTAAAATGTGAAAGTTTGTGGGTATGGATGTTTGTTACTCTTTCAGTCACCAGAACGGCTGAATATCCATTCATCTGGATGAAATTAGGCACAGAGATAAATTATAGTATGAAATAATACATAGGCTATTTTTATCTCGGAAAATTGTACGGGTCCCGTGGGATAGGTTTGTTTTTGTTTTCCTAGAGGCGAACCCGAGCGAAGCGAAGGTGAGCCGCTAGTATTATAAGTACATATTAGTTAAATTAATATAATTTTTGAAAAAAAAAACAAATTCTCATTTGTATACTATTTTAAAACATATATAATACATTAGGGTGGATCGAAAAAAAAATATCTTTTTTTTCTTAATTTTCATCATCTTTGAAGCCATTCAAGAATTAGGCTTTAATCATTTTCTACCCAAATTTCACTATAATATTGCAATTTATTATGCAATATTGCAATTTTTTTATAAGTTGAAAAAATAACCTGCTACTTTTTTATGTTACCGTTTGTTGTTCCTTCCGGCTAAAACGGCTGAACGGATTTAAATGAATTTTGTACACAAATATATATATATATATATATATATATATATATATATATATATATATATATATATATATATATATATATATATATATATATTTAATAGTATTACATAGGCTACCGTTACACACCTAGGTACAAACCCAATCGAAGCGGGATTAAGTCGCTCGTATATGAACAAATCATTAATATATAAATAGGTATCTAATAATACTTACATCAACATATCTTATATCCAGCGACGGTCGCGACTGGTAGAAGAGTAACAATAGCACGTCGATGGCGACTCCACAACCCAGCCCCAACTCTATTCCCAACGCGAGGCAGCACACAAATGTACCCACAAGCGGGATCAAATCTAACCCTGTTAAACATCTATTCATATATAATAAACAGTATTAGACTTCGTTTATACTTCACGGGACTCATTGTAGTAGGTATGTTAAATATTAAAATTTTAAAGTTGTGTTTGCATCGTGAAACTTAAAAGAAAATATTAAATGTAGTGTATAGCAACATGACTTTATGATATCTCAAAAATATAAATTCAATTTTTATAGAATATCTTGTGTCAGGCTAAGATAATTCGCATAATACAAAGATTTAAATGAAAACTAAAACTAAATTAAAAACTATAAGCAAATTGTTATTGTAAGAATTTAACACTCTGTACCCTACAAGCACAGAACATATTTGCTGACTACTACATACTCGTATAAGTATATTATAAAGCTACAGCAGGAGTGTTTTAGTGCTATTTGTATTCATACATTTTATTATTATTGGAACTTTAGGCTTTAGCATTATCAACCCTAGGAACATTCTCAGAATATAGATGTCGAAGCTAACGAACTTGGATAAATATCTGAATTTTTTCTTCTGTAAAACAAAAGAAAAATTGTGAGCATCCAACTCCTACTCGATAGAGTAAAGTAACATCAGTAAATTATACTTTCTTAGATTTATGCAAATATTTGACAATTTAAATAAATACCTAGAAATATTTATTTATATTAAAGTAATGTAATTAAAGTATATAACAAATATAAAAGTGCGTATTCATTTTAACACAATGTACCTCATCCGACTAATATGAAAAACGCGAAATATTGTGAAGATATATGGATGTATGCTTGTACGTTCACACATTTCAGTTTCATTAGTATTTAATACTGAACAGATTTTAATAAAACTTCAAAATAATATAGCTTATACATAAGGGTAAGTCATAGTAATACATAATATAAAAAAATTGAGAAACATATAATAAATAGTTTTCATTATATTGGTTATATAATCTATACATATAATAAAATTGTAAATAAGCCGAATCTGTACATCAAATATTTCTTTGGAAAATCTTATTGAAATAAAAATTATTATCGAAACAGAGGCCGAACCTATAGTTCTTAGAACCTTTGTCTATCTGTCTGTCTGTCTGTTACCGCATCACAGAAAGACCACTGTAGGGGTTCTGATGAAATTTGGTATGATGATAGCTGGTTATCCGGGCCAACATAAGGATAATTTTTACCGCGAGAAAATATCTCATTTTTGAGAAAAAATGCAAAAACAGCAATATAAGAGTATACTAATATGTAAATCCTAAGAATTTGGTTTTTGGTCATTTAAACGCGGGTGGAGCCGCGGGCAATGCTAGTATTACATATTTTTATAGTAAGGGTTAACATTATCGTTGATTTATAAAACTATTTGACATTGACGATAAAAATAACACTCAAATGCGAGTTTTCCTCAAGTAACAAAATAACTACTTTTAAGATTGCTATGTGAAAATAACGTTCTACGCAGCCAAAAGGGTTTCTTATTAGACCGAAAATCGTATTGAACTGAAGAAAAGCTTACAAAGGGCTATGATTGGCTCCTTTCAACCAAGCAACGTACCAAACTGTTTGATGCAAACCGACACCCGCTCAATGAAGTTATCTCCTCAAATCAGCGAGTAAATAGACTTTGTTCTTTATTTTGCGTCCTCACTGTCGTCCCTAATTTGAATCTTCAGGCATTTTTAAAGTCGTTCGAGTGTCTAATTCTGTAAAGAATTTCGTCGTACCCCAAATTCCGATGCCTTTATCACTTTACTGTATTTAAATGAAGTGCCTTTTTGTAATATATTTTCTGAGATCCCTTTTATGCTGCTTAACTGGAGAAACCGTTTTTAACGAAAATACTTATAATTTAAATATTGATAGCTATATTATAAACGTTGACATATAAAATATACATATTTAATCATTCTAGAATAGCGACTATAAAGCAAGCTAAATGCTATGTGGCATGTGCATTTAGATATTAATTTTATAAAAACTTTACTAAAAAATGAAAATGTGTTCAGAAAATGCTTTTATTTCTTACCTTTTAATCTAGATATTATTTCTTTTCCCTAATGATATGGAATATCTCTTATAATTACAAAACAGATATATTTAATCCATCGTGTATTTGAACACACTTTACTGCGTAATTACAGAGATAGTATTATAAGAAGATTTCCCTAAGTTGTATAATAAATCAGGAGATGTCAGGTGAAACGATTAAGGAGAGTGCTTCAGTCCATAATAATGAATTATTTATTCGAGGCTCGAAATACGGACGGATATGGCATACGTTTGTCGAGTGCCGGAAGGGGTGAGACAATATATCCGAACAATACGCATAAGAGAATTTACCAGTGAAGCGTAAATGACCGTGAAATTCTTTATTGTTTTGTTCGATATGATTTACGCTCAGAATAACAAATTTCTATAGCTATAATAAATGTGGATATACAAATATTATCTTTCTCGTCGAGTATAAAAAACAGTTATCAGTTTTTTGAGTTATAGTGTAATATATTAATAATACAATGACAAATGGACGACAGATTATTATTATTTCTTGTTACGTTGATAAAATTCTAATTTTTTCCAAGCAAACAGGCAAAGACACATATATAAGTGTAAGTTTTTAAAGGATCCCTTTTTACATCAAGCTTTTGGTTATGGAGCCCTTAATACTCTGAGCAACTTTTTAAGAAATCTAAAAACGTCACAGAGTATTTATATTTTAAGCGTTATCTTTTATGAGCACTGACTGATATTGATATTAAAGCAGTTCTTCAAGTATAAGGCCATAAAATCACACTTTTTAATGCGGCACAAGAAATATTTAATTTTCTAGAACACGTATTCCCTAAACAATCTGATGCTAAAGTGGCATGCAGAACTGTATATACGGCTACATTAACGGATTCGCTTCCTACGGAAGTCAAACTCTACAAAGTCTAATAGAGTCATACAACCAAAGTAATCGTCTCCATCCTGCAGACAACGACATACGGAGTCGTATTTCTACCTTCAAAAAGTATCTTGAATTACAAATTTACTAGCAAACTAACAGCAGCCAATATCAGCTTTTAATAACCGTAAGGCACCATTAACTATTTTATCATACAAATGATGATTTGTTTCTACATTTCCTACTTAAGAAATACTTTATTCAATAGTATATTATATTACTTACATACACAAAAACAAATCTATTCCACGGGAACCGTAAATTCTTCCGGGATAAAAATTATGCCTATGTGTTATTCTGGTGTATGAGCTATATTATTGTAAAGTTTCATTAAAATCCATACAGTACTTTTTGCGTGAAATAGTAACATCCATACATAACACACACAAACTTTCACATTCAAAATATTCGTATAGATTATAATAATAGTATAGATGTTGCAACTAGTTTTTGTCCTTTGGTAGTGACAGTAAATCGAAACATTGAACAAACAACAATACGTACGTAGACCTTTATCTAAATAAACGTTTGTCTTAACCAAATTATTTTGAATAATTTATTAAAGGACTAGCTCATTTTCTTTTCTTAATGAAAATTTCATATATACAATTCTTTTTTTCATAATAAAGTATAATAAATCATAAATTAAAATGAAAAAATCATGAAATCGCAAATATGATTAAGCGAATTATATTTACATTCCTATTTAAACATCATTTTAAACTAGTCTTACAAAATACCTTTATTAAGACAAGAACAATATGTACGAATACTTTTAATTTCATTTCTATACTAGCGGCTCAACCTCGCTTCGCTCGGGTTTGCCGCTAGGTACGTTTTCAATAGATATAAATAGTTATTAGCCAGCGTTAGCCATTTACATTTTATAATTTTTTTCATTAATTTTTCATTTTTTTCTCTTTATTAAAACTTTCAGTGGACCTTAAAGAACATACGAAAACCAAATTTAGCCGATTTGGTCCAGCCATTCTTGAGTTATGCGCTTACCAACATTCATTTTTATTTATATAAAAGATTACATAGCACCAAACTTGTGTAATAACCGCAGAGTCATAAATCATGTACAATTTATAGCTCGTGTGTTTCTATTCACAATCTGTGAGGACCGCATGTAAAGCCTGCGGGAGTTTGCTCACAATGACAGGCGTCACGCAGACGGCGCATGATGCAAAATGAGGCTTTACCCTCGCTTTATGTGCAATTATTTTTGCAAAACCATGTTGTGAATCCACATCGGCGCATTGAAGTGGATTGCAATTAAAAGATAAAAACGTTACCGCTATGAGAATATAAATGTTCAGATACAGCAAAATATGTATTTTTTTCTCGTATCGTTGTAGTGGAACTTTTTTTTGTATTTATTTATAGGAAAGTTCTTTTTTTTCTATTAATTTGGAACTGCAATATATTCTAGATTTATCAAAATATTTGATTAGAAATACATTGATACATGTTATATCAAAATTACCATAATGTTATCTCAGTAAATAACAATTAATAAGATATAAAAATGAGCGTGTGTGTGCAATTCACAGTTCACACATGGTAGAAGTGAAACTTCAGAAAAGTAACCTATGAGAGAATGAGATGAATATACTCTATATTGTTCCTAATGACAGGGGTTTTTCAGTTCGGTAACCAGATGGCAGCAAGACCTTTACAATTTCGTCATATCCGTTTGTTTGTATGACACATTCATATTACTCAGATATAGCTGAAAGGTTTGACAATGATAAAATCTAATACCGAAAAAAAAGTAAAAAAAAATTTTTACAAGCTTGTGTCTTTGTATAACTTTTTAAAATGATATTCATGTTTCTGAACGCCTTTTTTGTTTAAGTCAACAGTTTCTAAGTACCTAGTCACTTTGGTTCCTCAAGTTTTAAATATTATGTACCCTTCTCCGCTTAACATTTAAAATACAGGGTTGAATAAAATAAAGCAAAAGTAACTCCAACTCCAATAAACTTTCAACCGTAGTAATTACATATTTGGAATAAAAAAATGTTGAGTAGTTTTGGAATATTATTAAATATGCTTTGTTAGCGTAATAAAACACTATACTATTATTCGTATGTGTTGTAAATGTGTATATATTTTATTTTACTCCTTTAATTCTAACAAATTATGAAAGTTAAAACAACACAAAAATCTTCAATACTACGAGTATGTACAGAATCCTCAATGCACAAGTTAAATTTGCACTTGTTCAATTTGTTTAATTAATCACATATATTTATTACATAGCTATATCGGCAATGTACTAGGCTATTATGAGGGGGATCAGGTTATAGTCCACCTGGTTGCCCAAGTGCAGGTTGGAGGACTTCACATGTCTTTCGAAAACTTGCTAGGTTTTCTTAGACATGCAGGTTTCCTCACGATGTCTTCCTTCGCCGTAAGACAAGTGTTAATCATATTAGAAATGATTCGCACGTGAAAATATCAGAGGTGCGAGACCTGAGATTTGAACCCGCTTCACTCGGTTTCCCAAGCGAGCGCGTTACCACTAGGGTACCATTGCCTATCCATCTCCCTCGTATTGAAGAGAGGCCCGTGCAGCAGTGGGACGTTAAAAAGGGTTGAATACATACATACATACATACTAGGCTTATACAAATAAAATTTATCGTAAAAGACATTTTTTATCACAGCAAAAAAATTTATCTATATTTTAAAAATCATATATACAATATAAATCAAGCCTTTGGCCACATCTGCGTATAAAATTAAAACTCTGAAATAGGTTTTCCATATAGGCAAAATGCATTACACCCTATATTGCCTTTTGAGGTTGATTTGCAAAGATCCTTTCATAGATTTTGTTTAGAGTTTGCTTTGGACCCTTTTAACCACGAAGCCACTTCATACGTATAAAAAAAAAGTAAAGCAAAGACAATTTATAAATGACTAGCGAGTCACCGTCGTTCCGCTCGGGTTCGTCCCTAGTTACGTTTTAACGTTTAGTATAGATTTCTCAGAGATGAGATATTTTTCTGCAGCAAAAAGTCCTATATGTTGATCCGGATTACCAACTATCATCATACCAAACTTCATCAAAACCTGTCCAGTGGTTTTCTCGTTATAGGTTCTCAGATAAACAGACAAAAATTCTCAAAACTATAGATTCAGCCTCTGTATAGATAATAATGACTATTTCAATAAGATTTCTCAAAAGATATTTAATCAATATATAATCCAATGTTCTAAACTCAGTTAGAATTTTATTATAATATGTACGTATAAACAAAAATACTTAAGCGTTTAAAAAGTTTAAGCTCCGCAATAATTATTACTTACAGGATGTAAGCTAATTTGTAATTAGTCCGTATAAGCTTTCTGCTTTGTGTTTCCACTACAGTTATTACATTTTTAAAATACGCATCTTTAAACGCTGCACAAATAAATTGCACTCGAGACGTCTGTATTTTGTTGAATGTTTTTACATCGGTTTACATATTTTCAGTGTAAGCGAAAAAATTTAATTGGTTTTTCTTGTTTTGAAGCACCTTTTATTCGTCAGCCAAACCGTGAAGAGCGCACTCGTTAAATCGTCGGATTTGTGTATTATTTGAAGCCTTTTATTTATCAAATTTATTTTATGTAGAGACGCGAAAATGTATTATAAAAACTGCTAGCTAAGTTAAAAGTAAATAAACGTTTCACCAAAAGTGATGTCCAAACTTACTCGTTCCTATCCCGACGATTCAAATTACATTAGGCATATAATAAATTTAATTAAAAGGATTCAACGTTGTGTAACATACAAATCTTAATATATATATTTCTTGTGTGCGTGTGTATGTGACTGAACTCCTCCTAAACGACTGGACCGATTTTGATGAAATTTTTTGTGTGTGTTCAAGGGGATCTGGGAATGGTTTACATTCACAATTTTGTGTATAAATATGTATAAAAATGTAAAACTTAATTTTATAATAATGAAAGAATCATACAGCGCCATCTATCGCAGCTTATTACACATTACGTTTTCATTGTTAAATAACAGCGCCATCTAACGTTATAGTTTAGCAACTATTATAAAATAAAATTTGTTTAATCAAATGAATAAACTTTATTTTAATTAATTTTTAATTTATTAGTAGTTGTTTATTTTGGAATGTTTTACATTGGATCCGACAGACGGCGCTACCATCGCAGTGTCAAATTTTAAATAATATTCGAATTTTAATTTTAGTCTGTCCCGACAGTTAGCGCTGCGATCAAATTAAAAAAAGTTAAATTAAATAATAATACCTATATAATTCTTCTGTACGTGTGTTTGTCATCTTACTCCTCCTAAAGGGCTGGACCGATTTGGATGAAATATTGTATATATATTTCAATGGGCTCCAGGATTGTTTGAAAATACAACTGGACCCGGTAGGTGAGGCTGCAGTCGGTGTGTCAAAGTTTTTTTTTTGTAGTTTGAACGCGGGCGACGCCGCGGGTACTGCTAGTCTTAACATAAAATCTCTTAATTCATATACATATGTATGATAATTATAACATGATAACATTATTAGGGATCATATTAAACGTATAGTATGAGTTGTACAGTTAGTTTAAATAAATAATAAATAAATGTTGGGACTTTAACACACAGCACCATCTAGTTCCATGGTAAGCTACGAGGCTTGTGTTATGGATACCAGATAGCGGATACACTACATATATATAACTTTAAATACATACATATTATAAATATAAACACCCATGACTAGAGAACAAACATCCGTGCTCATCACACAAATGAATGCCCCCGGCGGGACTCGAACCCGCGATCGCTGGAACAGCAAGTAGGGTCACTACCAACTGAGCCAAACGTGTCGTCAATCGTTTTGATATAAAATGCACCTATACTATGTATAATAACACAAAAAAATATTAAAATAGGTAAGTCTAGCTTACATAATAGGTATATAAGATAATATATGTAGTTCATTAAAAGAAAATCGGATAAGGGCGTGTTCAAAAATATTTTAAAATATTTTTTAATAGTTGTACGCAGATGTTAGTTGATTTACTCTAGTTAGAGGTTAAATGATTGTTTCAAACATGCGAATTTTGGTGTCAATGGAAAAATAAAACTTTCAACATTATAACAATACCTATGTTACTAAATATATTAAATAAATAAAGCTTATGACTTTATCACTAATTTTACAAAATACTTGAAAAAAAAACATAATTAAATGCATAGTACTCACTATTGGTTTTCCATAATCTCTTCAATATCGCAATATCCACCATATGTAAAACCGCGCAGACTATGACAGCGGCAAGCGCAGCGCGCGGGATAAAGTAAAAGTATGGTGTCAGCAGCCCCAGTGTGAGTAATACTATTATACCTATTAGAAATTAAATCATTATTAAAAATATAGGAATAAACAGTTTTCTCCTAAGCGTATTTTGGTTATGACTAATCTCATTCACACTACATAGCTAGATTGAAAGCGCGAGAAATATTTTGCCGTCATAATAAAGAAGGCTAAGGCCTTCTTTATTATGACGGCAAAATATATATACTAACAATTTGGTCAAAAATAACTTTAACGCAGATTCGCAATCGGCAAAAAAAATGCTACTTAAAATAGTCTTACTCATAAAGCTCTAAGTCTTATGAATCCGGAAATAACATAACCATTTTCATTTTCATTTTCAACTTTCAATATCTCGATATCAACTTTGATGAAGTTGCAGCCTTCCTTTTTATGACGGCAGTATTACAGGACAGCGTTTACACTATTTACGTTTTTAACTCTCATATCTTGATAGTATAACAATTCGTAACGATCAACAAGAGATATGACGCTAAACCAATAGCTTACCGTAGTCTCTAGATGCCCTCATTATAAGAGTACTTTCATTGAAAAAAACTTAAAAAAAAACCTAATATTTTATATAGTCAACAATCACCACATATTCATCTTTAAAAGTGAATATCTTCCGGGAACCGAAGCCGTACCTTAGATTTATACTCCTACTTAGTATAAAATATAGTGTATCTTTAATTGAATCAGTAACACGTTTAAAATAATACGATATTATTAATTTTGGTCCAGCTGTTATCGAGACAAACGCAGTCAAATTCTCGAAAATTTTAACTATTAAATTTGCTTTTATTTCTTCTCAGCAATATACGTACAATATAGAACAAATAATTATATTATTTCATTAAATATTAACAAACAAAAATAATTTAATTGTACTGATTATATGAATCTACCACTTGCAGCAGTAAAAGAGGACATTGCCATAGAAATGGAAATAGGCTTGATAACATAAAGTATAAGTATAATTATACTTTAACTTTACATTTATAGTAAGAGAAAACAGGATGAAAAATAGACACATACATTCATTAGTAGAAAGTCGTATATAAATTTGGCCAATAAAACTAACTCATGCGCGGTATAATTTAATTAAACTATTTTGTTTACACAGAAAGTTTGCTATGAAAGTGCTCAGTAAAACAAGAATGATATAATAAAATAAAAGCCAACTTGTGTACCACTCGTATTGCAAATAGTAACTTACATACAGACGGAGTTAAAAATACCTATCTAATATAATATATCAGCTATATAAGCCATAACTCATAGTAATTTAATTCACTCACGAGGGATCCGACATTTTAATGCAGTTTCCTACTCTGAGATAACAAAGCTGTAGATTTAAAACTTGATGCAACTAACGCAGACTTGGAGTATATCAAAAATTCAGAACTGCGCGACAATAACTATTCTGATAACTTTGAGATTTATGCTCTAGTCTCAAAATGAAAAATGATACATATGATCATGTAAAATATTCTAGAAACCAATTTAACTTATTCTACGAAAATGTCAACAGCACTCAAAACAAAATGAGATGAAAAACGACATAGAAAATTACTTTAGAACAACTCCAGAGTAACAAAGGGAAAATTTCCCATATGATATACACATTTTGAATTAATTACCAAACAGGTAATGAAAAGTTTTGATATAAAACAAGATATGTCTGAGCCGCACTCATGTATTTGCCGTATGCAAAATATTTCCATTTCCATAATTACATATCTCTATATTATTTGATATATCTATATAAAGGCAGTGGTAGCCCAGTGGTAACGCGCTCGCTTGAGAAACCGAGTGAAGCGGGTTCAAATCCCGAGTCTCGCACCTCTGATATTTTCATGTGCGAATCATTTCTAACATGATTACCACTTGCCTTACGGTGAAGGAAAACATCGTGAGGAAACCTGCATGTCTGAGAGAACTTAGCAAGTTTTCTAAAGACATGTGAAGTCCGCCAATCCGCACTTGGCCAGCGTGGTGGACTATGGCCTGATTCCCCTCGTACTGAAGGGAGGCCCGTGCCCAGCAGTGGGACGATAAAAAGGGCTGAATACACATATCTATATAGAACTTAATGTGTGTTTGTTTGTCTGTGGTTCCATTTTTGATATACTAGCGACCCGCTCTGAATAAAATATTAAATTAAAATCGCTTTAGTAATTTAGAGAAATTAATGCTCGGTAAGTTCTGTATGCACATTGCACATACATAAAGATATATGATTAAGTACTATCAACATAATATGCACATTTTACATCTAGTAATAAGTGTCATACTTAGTGCGCAATTTATATCGAATGATATATAAAATTTATTAATATAAGTACAAGAAACAGAAAGAATAAGTAATTTAAGCGTTTGTACCTATGCAAAGTAACCCGTTACTACTTTATTATACAGTACTAGCGGACCCGACAGACGTTGTCCTGTCTACACGTCTTTAATTTGAAAATTTCAAACTTTTTTTCAGTGACATACACACTCACAGAAGAATTATATATATAAAGATAGTCAGCAATCGTAGGTAAAAAACTCACTTTTTTGTGTAATTATAGTAGAATTTTAGACATGTATATATGTGTACAATGTACATAAAATACATATTACATACATACTTTTACACATAATTTTATTGATCATAATATATATCTTAAAAGTTAAAAGTGAGTCAAAAGTCAAAAGTGAACCATTTCTGAAAGATTAATTTTTAAAAAGTTCAATAATATTTTCACTCTTAACTGCAAAGGCTACAAACGTTATATATTGCATAAAATAATTAAAAAGATAAATTAAAACCTCTGCTTTGATTCAAAGCTACATCCCATATAAAACATCTATACAATAAGTACATTGTAACTTACCTGTATAAAAGCCTGCGGCTGGCGTGTTCACGCCAGAAGCGTCGCTTACAGCGCTTCTAGTAAATGATCCGTTTACTGGAAACGAATGAAATAAAGCGCCTATAATGTTGCAAGCGCCCAAAGCCACTATCTCTTGAGTGGCGTCCAACGTTTTGCCTTTCGCTGAAATATCCAATCACCTCTATTAACAGTTAGGTCAGCATATTTACAAAGTTTATTGGTACGTTTTTTAATAAAATATTGGAATTCAAATCCTCAATATTTTAAACATATAGGCATATATTTTTTATTTTATTACATACTAGTGTTGCCCACGGCTCTACATAGTTAATTTATTTGTAATGAGAATAACTTATCTTTATGACTCCAAAAACTTAGAAATTTCATATAAACTTACGATAGACTTTAGATCCCCTTAATTCCCATATCGTAAAAACTGTTCTTAGCTAACATCTCTTTCTCCTAACCTATAAACTACCTGCCAAATCTCAACTTAATAGGTCCAGTAGTTTTCGAATTTTCTATATACATAATACATTTTTTTTTTATATTTTTAAATTTAAATGCGCACAAAAATATTCTTAATCTAATGTAAGTAGAAATTATTCGTCGTTTCACACAATAATATAACAGTACATCTAAAGAATCATCAAATAACACGAATGATAAATTTCATCCATTTTCATTATCTCGGTACGCTTGCAAAACACGCAACGTATTTCAACCAAATTATTTTATGCTCAATTTACGTGTACGTACATGGGTAATGACAGTTGCCATAAAAAGTTACACAGGTTGGTTTAACGGCACTGGGCTTGACTTAAAAACACCGCATATTGTGTTTTGCTATGATATTGGACGCTATTAGAGGACAATATATGATATTAGCTCGCATAGAACGTCAGTTTATGACATTACTAGCTATAAACCTATTATAATTATTGTTTTAATAAATAGAAATTCGACTAAACATTTTGATGGAAATTAGTCAAAATTTGTAATTGTTAGTGTTGTTAAATATTTATGCAATAATAGCGGTTTACTCTCGCTTCGCTCGTGTCTCTATAAGGTACGCGGATTTTGTTCGCAAATTCTTGGGTTTAATAATATTTTTTTTGCGCAGAACCCTAATACTTTTTTCTAAATAAACGTACTACTCCTTACCTAACATACTCCTACCTAAATACTTATATTATATGATTACCATCTAAGTTACTCCTTATAACATCTGCTTTCTGCCAGTGAAAGTCTCACTAAAAGCGGTCCAACCGTTCCAGATTTTAGCCGGAACAAACATACAGACATACAGTCAAAAAAAAATGTTTTTTATGTATTTATTAAAAAGCTGTTATTTTGACTTTATAAACAGACAAATCAATTTTATTTATCTCTATAGATAGATGAATCTGACAAGTTCAAAATGCAAACTAAAACTACCTTTCCAAATTTAATTAATTACTACTGAATCTCATTATACATTAATTGCACCTGTATAGATAACGTTAAACAAAAGACAATTGACTTAAATTAATACACGAGATGATTGTAAATTTTATTTGATATTAAAGACGCGAGATGATGTATCACAAACATAACATTTTGTTTCTTAAATGTACATTTTCGAATCCAAAAGCTATTAATCTACATCGGTGTATTTTTATCCATATCTTAAAGGCTTATGTAGTGTAATTTGTTTATACAAAAGTTTATCTTGAACGACATCAAATTTTCAATATAATATTTTTATTTCACCACTATAAGCGACTCACTCTCGCTTCGCTCGGGTTCATCCCCAGGTTGGTTCTCCATACAAACATTGATCCTCATTTTCACCCCTTTAAGGGATGGTATCCAGAATTAAAAACATCTATGTCCTTCCCAAGGCCTCAAACTATATTCTTACCAAACATCTAAATCGATCCAGTAGTTTTTGAGTTTATTCGTTACAAAAATGCAAATATTTCCTCTTTATAATATTAGTGTATATGGTTATATCTTATTTCCAGGCAAGCCTTCAATAAAACATGTCTACTACTGTTGCAGATGTGAACTGTAAATTCAATTAGAACTTTAAATTAAAAATGGTATGAACGGGCAAAAAGTTTGCCCTACATGAAACTAACTGTATGAATTTATATTCGAAAATTTGTCCTGAAAAAATTATTTGAATCTCGTACAGGATGTCTGTACCTTCGCACGTGTAAGTACTTGTAGTATATTTGTAGATGAATAACTCTAAAATAGAAGCTAATGGTATCTTCAGACTAACTAAATCTTATGAAATGTACATAACTTAAGAAGTCGATAGTTTTCAGTTAATAGTAATTACTTTTGACTAATTAAAAATTCATGTCCCATATTTCTGTGCAATAATATGCTAGGACATGTCAAAACAACAGTTGTGATTTTGTTTCTATTTCGTTTTAACCATCTCACCTACTATACAAATATCAGCTATATAAAACGAAAAATATTGAAAAAAAACTCGACCCCTTTACTTGTATATTTTATTTATAGATTAAATCTTATTTTTGCGATGATTATGGTGTACTGCGATAAAGAAGTTTATATTTTAGAGGACAGGATATGAGAACACTTCAAAAACCGTCGCGCTCATTATTTTTGACAGTCGTATTCGAACGTACTGCTCCGTGCTGAGCTTTTCCATATATATATATAACAAGTATCAATTTTCATAGACCTGTAATTTTCTTGAATCGCATTTAATGAACATTTTATGTATAAAATTACGTTTAATTTAATTATATATTTACAATTATTACTTTTTATATTATTAAAGAGATTTAATTGTAGTCATTAACAAAGCTTGAGACATGTTGAAAATCTAATTAATTTAAATTTTGCGTGTCAACAGGCTTCTCCTGGGCAAACTCGGTACATCATAGACCTTATCTATACATTTAAAGTAAGATGAAGGTCAAGAGTGAGCCTATTTTTAATAAAAAAAAAAAAAATTACTATTTCGTTTTACTTTAAATGTCAGTTTACATGATTTAATTTTAAAAATATTTGATAGTACCTAAACGTTTATTTACTACATCAAATCTGAGTTATCATTATATAAAATTGTACCTATTACATGCACTCTACATATAATATTTTATTTCTTAAGTTGCATACAAGACTATATTCACGGTATATAATTTGAAATGCAAGTTAAATTTATGAGCTTACATCCAATAAAATTCTTTAGAACAACACGAAGAGAACACCCGAGTTCTTAGAATGCACTAAGTTCGTGTATAATATATCAGCATTAGATCCATCGCATATATTACAACGACAAATTGTTATTCGACTATAAAAATATTGCACAAACTTTGGTACAATGAACTGTCTGGGACATTTTAGAACAACGTTATGTTAATGTAATAAGAACTATTTTTGTTCAAATTTACATTTAAATAGGATTGTTTTATTCAAGCACAGAACATGGGGACGCCTCGAGCTATTTTTAATGGAGTGTGTTGGTCATAATTTGTTTCAGTAATTCGAGTCACCTTTTCGCTTTGTATGCATTTTACGCTCTTTGTAAGCGTATTGTTCACAAAAAAGACATTAGCACTTTTAAAATAACAAAAGGAGGTACTAGATGCAGGTATTCAACATAAATTAGACCGTGGATGGTCGCATGCGTTACATGTTTGGACTACCTCTGTCTGTTTTCACTGGTTAGTGGTTATAAAGAATAACTTTTAGTATAGTACACTTATATAGTTATATTATTGTTTTTAAAATCATCGATTAAGAAGAATTTCTAAATATATTTAATAAATACTCGTAAGTAGTAGGTATATATAGTTTAGTATAATTACTTAACGTTACTAACATAAAAAGTACAGAGTTAATGAAACGTAGTATATATATATATATATATATATATATATATATATATATATATATATAAAGTTAGTTTCACCATTTCTAACTCAAGAACGGCTGGACCGATTTTTATGTTTTTGATTTGTTGAATTCGTCTACGCCCCAAATGACAGAACAACTATTAAAATAACGGAAAAATTTACGAAAAAAAAATATTACATGACTAGCGCTGGCTAATAATTATTTATATCTATTTAAAATATACCTAGGAACGCACCAGAGCGAAGTGAGAATAAGTCGCTAATATGATATACATACATGTATAGTAGGTATTTCACAAAAAATATACTTCATATTATTTTAAAACTTAAAGCACAGGATAGATAATAGTACAGACGTACTAAATTTATCAGATTGATATTTATTTCAACAAAATAAATTAGTGAGCTTTAGCTAACCGTTTAATTAAGTTTTATTAAATATTTTTTCTAATAAAATCATAGTATCCACCCATATACCATTTGTTCAGCTTTTCTACCATAAATTCAAAATGAAGTTTTTTTTTAATTCTAAGTTCAAAGGAGTTTAAATAAAGTAATAATTTATAATTCCTCATTAATCCATGTTCTATTAATCTTGCGAGCAGGCTTTAGTGAGCGAAAAATTATCACAGACGACTATATGCTTTAACGTACACGAAACAAGCTCAATTTTCCTAGAACTATCCTTTATATTTGAACAACATCTTATTACGGCCGTTAATTAGTAAGCATAACTAAAGGACTCTTTAGGTCTTTCTAATCATATTGAAAATTCGCCTTACATCTACTCATTTTAACCGACACTTGATTTTAATGGGATTATGTAAAAATATTATTATTTTCTTTTCGAAATAAAATATTGTGAAAATGAAGTGGTGAATATTTTGTGAAAAGCCTTTGATATTACAAGTTCATTATAATTCATATTTATTTTGATGAGTCTAGTATATAAAAACAGCATTTTTTATTTCATACTTAGCAAAAATTTTGTTAAATAATACTGAACAGAATCGATTATCTTCAAGTAATTTTTTATATTAGTATCTACTATCTAACTCAAGTCGGTAGTAGAGACGTTCAACTGTTCCTTTACATGGTTTACCTTTATTTTCACTTTCCTTATATTATTGTGAAGTAGAGAGTAAAAGCATAGAAACTTTAAACATTAATTTTCGATAGAATAAAGACACAGAATCTATAATTTTAAGAATACTTAAAATTAACATTTCTCGAGAGCGGTTTTACGGATTTCAAAGAGATATTTACAAACAGATAATA